TTAACATTAATCCCTATAATCCGTACTTCTCGCGGAAAACTTTCTGATTTATTCGTGTACGCACCAGACAGAAAAACAAAAAATATCGTGTATCCACAAGCACTCCAATAAATAAATAGTATTGAAATGACACTTTGAAATGTTTACCCAATGAAAATGAATAATAATAATAAGTTTCAATAAAAATTATAAAATGTAAATTGAATTTTATCATAATGAGTTTGCTTGAATTTCCTTTTTTCTGAGATCGCAGCAATGTGTGACGGGTAAGCTAGTATTAAATGAACATACAAAATATTTAATATGTGGCATGTCCAGAGATAAGTTTCAATTGGCTAGAAAGGAAAAGAAACTTACTTTTTTGAACTTATATTTATTGTCATAGAAAAGACATAGTCTCAGCTATTTTCAGCATGTTCACTTTTGTGGTTCAGACATTTGTCCTAGTGACACACACACCACACACTTTTGCAAACCCTTATTAAAGAAGTCTCTTGCCTGCTTAGACAACTTGTTTTATGATTTGCTTTTGATTACCAATGCCTGTCATCATTAACTTATCAAACGAAATCAGTGGCAATCTGCACTTTCATGCATCAACTCACCACCTATTATTAATTATAAAGTAATACTGTCTTTATTTTTATGCATGGGGACCTTTCCAAACCTTGTGGGTGATACAGGTGGTGTAATAAAGTCAACTGCTTGCAGAACAGTGCTGAATGTTTCTAAAGTAATTGTGAAGCTAAGAGAGTATATTTTTTCCCAAAAAATTGTCAAGAATTTATATCTCCAGGAAGCAAAAATGCAGAACTATATCATAACAGAAAAGATTATTTTTCTATACAGGTTCTATAAATTTCTGATTTTGATTACATCTTATGATTTAATAATTTAAAGTTTTATAAATATTAATTACTTTCTTGACACAATGACTAGGTGAAAATTTTATTCTGTGGTATATTTTATACATAATGGCTAATAATTAAAACAATGTATTATATGTACAGTACTGTACAAATATAAACATCTTACAAACCAGATACATTACAATAAAGCTACATCAACTGCCATATAATATCTGACTATAAATCGGCAATAATAATTATGAATTACTGATTCATTTTACCATAGAGGGAGGCATTAGGTGCCATCTCGTATTAAATTTAATAATTATAATTTAATTAAATAATTTTAGATTAGACTGGAAGAAAAGAATAGGCCTGGAGCAGGACTTGAATCTGCAACTGCCACTTACTGTGCAGATGCGTTGCAAGTTACACTATCCAGATCTCCAGTCTGATCTCCTCTTCCAGTATATTTAACATTACAATATAACTGGCAATNTAATAATTTAAAGTTTTATAATATACCAATCTTTCAAGTCATTCAATTTTTTAAAACAATACTATAAATTGGCTTGTTTTGATGATTTGATTTATTAGATTGTTTTGATGTTTTATATTTTTCATTACAGAAAAATTGTGAATAATGTGAAAATTTATTATGTTTAATTTATAATAAAATTTAGAAATGTGAATATTTTTAGAATAAATTGATCAAATAATGGTTAAATTTTTCCCATAAGAAGAATAAATAACAAAATTATGTTTAAAACTAAGTAGGTCTGTTATTTATTAGGCCTACTTTATTTTAAAATGTAAATAAATTGTTGATTTGATAAACAATTTTTAAATGAAAACTTGAGTTTTACAGAATGAAATAATAAGGCTCTCTCAATACTTAAGACCCTAAATAATAATATATTTCAAAAAATTTCAGTTGTCACAAGAGAATTTTGCATCATAGATTTGGTGATTTTTGGATTGTACACTTGAAGTTGACCATTCTTGCAGTATACAGTATTTCCAAATTAATATTGAAAGCATAATCTAAATAAAACTTGCATAAATTAAATTGAATTTAACAACAGCAATTATTCTTCAATCTTGATAAATTCAAACAGATTTGGCGTCATCAAAACAAAGATTTTAATTATAGTAGACATTATAGTAGTATTTAGAAAGATAAAGCAAAAGTAAATTTATAAATTTATTTTACTAGATCTTCTCTAAATATAAACATATTTCCCAATGTTATTTTTTATAAGTATGAAAGTAGTTTTTTTATAATACAATAAACTTTTGATTTAACAGACTAATTGGGATAGGAGTATCTGCTATTGCTGAAAGTTAATTAAGTTGAATCCATTTTAAAACATTAATAATGAACTTATAACATACAGGATGTATTTAAATGTTGCTATAATATATAACTACAAATAAAATATGATTATAAATTACTGAATATTTATTATACTCATTGATTCAACCTCTTTAAGTGTGCTCTATTAGCAAATAAAGAAAAGGCTTTATTGTGTTTTCTTTTAGAGCAGAAATTTTTTGTTTCTTGAATCAGTCTGTTAAATCAAGCATTTACTATACTTGTACTGAAGAACTTCGTTATGAATTTATTATGTAAAAAAAAAATACTTTAACATTTATGAAATCAATGATCCCCTCAAAATATTAATGATTATTGTTAATAATAATAATAATAATAACCTGTTTTTCTGAATAGCAACCAAATTATGTTTTTAAATAAAATTTGTTACACAGATGACAGAAGAATCAATAGTAGAAAAGAAATCAGATGTTGAGCAGCCACTGGATCTTGGTTTTCCTGATGATGACGACGATGGTACACAACAAGAGGGTAATAATTTAATTTAATTTTTTTTTTTTTTGAAATTAATAGTTTTATTTTAAAGTTCTTCAGAACCTTTTTTGTGACATTTAATTTAGCAGAAATCTTTTTTGGTTCAATTTTGTTGGAAGAAATATTCATTTTAATATTCCAATGTATTATTTTATACAACTAATGTTTTCAGTTATTCTAAACATCATCTTCAAGATTTTTATTACAGATTTGGAAGAATGGATTAGAATTCTTTTGACAAACTTAATTTAAAAGAAAAGTAATAAGAATATTTTAATACTAAAACAAATATCAGGAACACATATATCAAACAATATTTACATAGACAGTGTGTTCACTTAGCTTTCCAGAAACAAGAAATCTTTTCAGCATTTGTTAGGTTAAGTTGTGGACTGCTGAGGACATACATACCAGATAATACATTGCTATGATATTGTACCATTTCAATCCTATCTGCAACCAATGCAACAGAGGATGCTACACAATAATTTTAGTGTGCAACATAATAATAAATTTACATGGTGAACTACAACTCCTTCAGCACATTTTATGGACTGAAAAGGCACTGTTTACTCAGAATGGCATGTATAACCATTATATTCTGAACGACTGGGCTATCCTCAATGGTACATATGACACCAAGTGCATTTTGCCTTAAACACGTGATGTGGAATTTGGGATGAGTGACAGCTTTGTCCCAAATACATTGACAGCACCCTAAAATCTAATGGATTAAAATGAGTTCATTTGTAGTGAACAAGAAAGATTATTCATGTACTTTAGGTTTTATTTAAGGGATGATCTTAAATATATATTACAAGAAAATGTGAAGAAAAAACAATTTCCTGAATGGTAAATTTTTTTAGCAAGAAAAACAATCTGAAATTTTTTGTTATGCTATGCATATTAATATAATGCTGAATTTTTAAGTTTAAGCATTTTTAATTTTAAAATATTTTAAGTATTGTGTTTAGTGATCCATGAGTCAGCAGGGTCAAGTTTCACATATCTTACATTACTGTTCATATTTGCCATTGTCAAATTATTCAAATATATTGTACATAGCAGTTTCTAAATCTTATTTTTAAAATAATATAAATAAAAAAATTAATTTTTGTGAGCAAATGTATTATAAATATTAATTACTTTCTTGACACAATGACTAGGTGAAAATTTTATTCTGTGGTATATTTTATACATAATGGCTAATAATTAAAACAATGTATTATATGTACAGTACTGTACAAATATAAACATCTTACAAACCAGATACATTACAATAAAGCTACATCAACTGCCATATAATATCTGACTATAAATCGGCAATAATAATTATGAATTACTGATTCATTTTACCATAGAGGGAGGCATTAGGTGCCATCTCGTATTAAATTTAATAATTATAATTTAATTAAATAATTTTAGATTGGACTGATTCTTTTCTACCAGTTTAATCTAAAATTATTTAATTAAATTATAATTATTAAATTTAATATGACATAGCACCTAACATCTCCCATAGGGGCAAATTAATCAGTAATTCATAATTATTATTGCCAATTTATAGCCCGATATTATATGACAATTGATGTAGCTTTAATGTAGTATATGGTTAAAAGTACGAGATATTGCCACCCAAGATGCATGGCTAAACAAATGTCTAAACTAATTTTTAAAATTTATTTTTAAAAAATTGACTTTTTCATATTGTACTTTGATATGTTGTGATTTGAAAAGATCAAAGACTACATGTACAGTCTACTATGTAATTTGAAACAATCTAAAATTTAAAAGTAAATTATATATTAGTTACAAAATGCTGCAGTTCTTTTAAAATTAGATACAAATATCAAAATAAACATATCAGATAATCAAAAAATCTAGGAAACAAAAAATTTAGTAAGTAACATTTTCAATTATCTTCAATGGTCATTCTCATGTTTACATTAAATCAAACATAGAATATAAACAGGAATATAGAAATGTAAATAGAGATGGAATACAATCTCATTGCATGAGAACAAGAACGTCACAGATGATGTGCATATTGTTCACTTTTTAATTACACAAATTTCGAAAAAGGACTTTGATATGTCTGAAATGATAGCCATTTTTTTAAATTTGCAGCTGAACCATATAATTATATAATTTATGGCCAAATGGTTGAATCATAGTTACAAGCAGTGGTGATATTCAGCGGGTTCGCACAGGTTCGGCCGAACCCGTTGTTAACATTTTCAAAGTTTTCAGAACCTTGTTAAACACATGTAACATTTCTCAATGGTTTGATTCTTTTAAAAATATTAAAATATACGTATTATACTCTGTAACACTACTAAACTAGAGGCTTCCGATGCACCATTTGAGCGAAAAAAAAAATTGTTAAGGAAAAATTTTCTGTTAGCGAACCCTTTGTTAAATATTTCGAATGTCATCACTGGTTACAAGATCATAAGATATAACCAACATCTCACAAATACAAACAAATTATGAAGGCTAACAATGTCAAGATTGCTTTTAAAAGGAACTCATTTATATATTTCCTTCTCAGAAATCCAAAAGATCTTGCTGATAAAGAACACCTGGGGAGTGTACTTCATTCATTCATGTAACTGATAGCAGATTTGGTCTAAAATATGAATACATTGAGCAACAACATGCTTGTTAAACTGCCATATCAAAGAACATGAGCGACTTAAAAAAAGGTCGAACTACTACATAATAAGCCTCCAAAAATGACAGTCAGGTTGCACTTCAAGAAGCCCACATCTTACATCCATCTGGAGATAGGACTCTTCTTAAACATCTCAAGAGGTTAGAAATCTACAGAGCTAACAGGAAAGCATTGTCACAAGTTATGAAGACATGGACACCATTTCAGACACATTTTTTAACAAATTTTTTGAATGCTATGAGTCAGTCTACCTAACAAGTTTTGGATTAAAGAGATGTTTCATATACAAGAACCAATGGACAGCAACCATATTATAGTGTAAATTTTTTGAAATTTGTTTAAAAACTGTACAGTATGCATGTGTCATCTGTGATGCTCTTGTTCTCATTCAATGAGATTGTATTTTATCTTTTTAAATTTCTAGATTCCCATTTATGTTCTATGTTTGAATATAATGTAAACATGAGGATGAACATTGAAAATGATCAAAAACATTCATTAATTATTAAATTGCTTTTTGTTTGCTGGATTTTTTTTCTGTTATCTGGTATGTTTATTTTGATATATGTTAGTTTTATAGAAATGCAGTATAAATAATGTAGTTCCATTTTTATTATAAAATTTTTTATAAGTGCCAAGGATGATTTTAAAAGGAATTTGTTAGTATAATATCCTTTTGTTTAAAGTAAATAAAATCTGCAATTTAAGTTTGAATATTTTAAATAATATATTAATTATTTTGTTATAGGAACTACTACTAATTTGTTAATTAAAATTTTTTTTGTATGTTGCTACTTTATTTTATTACAAAATATTTTCATTTTCAATTTATTCAAATTTATTATCTGAAATTTTAAATTATTTTTATTAGCATTGTCTCCAACACCTCCTGGACAAATGGCAGCAGCTGCTAATGCTGGATATGAAATTCCTGCACGACTTCGGACTCTACATAATCTTGTAATACAGTATGCATCTCAAGGACGATATGAAGTTGCAGTACCATTGTGCAAACAAGCTTTAGAAGATTTGGAAAAAACAAGTGGGCATGATCATCCTGATGTTGCAACTATGTTAAATATTCTAGCACTTGTTTATAGGTAATTTTTTCAAATTATAACAAGTATGAAATTATTTGTTATGAATTGTAAACTTTAATATATTTTTCTTGTAGAGATCAGAATAAATATAAAGAGGCAGCAAATCTGTTGAATGATGCACTCGCTATTCGTGAAAAAACATTAGGGGAGAATCATCCAGCGGTGAGTGTCTCATCATTTAGATACTCTAATGATATCATTCTTATTACAATTATATCATTCACATCTTATTTATGAGATGTGGATGATAATTTTTTGTTGTTTTTTGTCGTTTGTATAAATTTTGTTTTTGTGATAGTCTAATAGAAAATTTCAGAAGAGCTACAGTACAGATAAAATAATTCATTTGAGTATGAATTTAATATAACAATAAATATTTGAATTTGTTTAAATGTCAAACAGTGTTGAATAATGTTTAAACTATTTACAATTAAAAACCATAAAATGAAGAAATATGAACAAAATAAAGACTTTTTGGAAAAGAAGTTTTTTATAGCAATAACAGTAAATATTCAAAATAATAATCAAGAATGTCATCACTATTTAATTTATAATTGCTGTAAATGTTGTTTAAGATTAAATTCTGAAATTGTAATTCTTCTATCAAAATTATATTCAAAGAAATTAATTCATTTTCTCAATATTTATTGGTAAAACAATAAAAATAACCTAGATTTTTTCAGTAATATTTAGCATAATACTTGTCTTAGAATGATTAAAACAGACATTACTATACTTTTAAGTTTTATGTTGAAAATTATTTTGTATTTCATTTCACAGTGAATTTTTTCGCTTTATTCTATAAATATTCAATATCAAAATTTAATTTCTCAGCATAGAAACTCCTATGCAGAATATGTTTATTTGGAACAAGGAAATACTGAAATATAGTTACTGATAAAATTTAAAATGTGATTTTGTTTTATATTTATATTCTTTTAGAATAAACATAAATATTTTAAAATGATTATATAAAAATTATGTCAGCAGTGAGGGACGGATATATCTGTTAAATTCTTTTGGAGTATTGCCAAAAACTACCGCAAAAAATAAATCTACATAAAAAATGAATTATGTAACAATAAAAAAGACTTTTCTTTACTAGACATAACTGTTTACAAAATCTTTTTCTGAAATGGTAACGAGATAAAAACGCGTGGGAAAAATACTTCCCAAAAAAATTTCCCACATTTATTCTCCACTACTTTGGGGTAGCACCATACCTGACTATCCCACTGCTGAAAGGTTAAATATTAAAAAATAATTAAATATAAACTGTTCTTATTAAAACTGTATAACTACAAATGCAAAACATTACAATTGCAATAAATGTCTAAAATGTTTAAAAAAACAAGAAGCCTTGTACTAGAGTTTGTTTTTTGATTTTTAATAAACTATAAATATCAATACTGGCCTTTCTGACTACAAACAAAATATATATTACAACAACAACAGTTATTACAAAATTTAAATGTTACAATTTCAACAAATAGACACTGATACATAAGATGATAAACTCACAAAATAACCAAAAAAAAAGCAGCAAAACGTTTTAATCATTAATGTTTTCATTCATTTTCAGTGACCAGCTTCATGTAACGTAGTAAATCAAGCAATAAAAACGTAATGTAAGTTTATTGAACGATGGGATGCCAAACAAATAAAAAAGGAAACAAGTTATAAATCAAAAAATAAAAACATAAACAGGAAAAAATGTTTAAAAGATTCTTTCATATAATCTCATGACTAGTGAATATCCTTCCTACTGTCTATATTAAACAGAGACCAAGAAGCAAGATACAGCAGTTACTTGATTTATGCATCATGTGCCTGGATAGGGATTGATAATTTGTTTAGTGATGGATTTTGGAATTTTATATTAAATATTTGCTAATGCATTGCTAAATAAAGGCAATAAGAGTTGTTAGAGGTCTTGGTTTTTTTTTAATATGGATAGCAGGAAAGAAATGTAACAGTCACTAGTTGTTTTTTTTTTATGTTTAAAATGTTATTTAAAAGATTCTTTCATATGTCTTCATTTAAAAATTTTAATTAAACATTTTTAAGGAGGGGGAAAAAATGTAAAACATACAAAAATAGATTTTAAAGAAAAATGAAAAAAATACAGTTTACAAGGTCCCCTCAACATCAGTAGGAAAGATTAAAAAAAATGCCATTTGAGAAATACAGATTATAGTTTGTACCAGGCTCTCCATGTTGTAGATGTAGGGCGTTGAGATCCTTTTAGTTCATAGAGTGCCTCTGTTGTACAGATTTATACATAAATTGCTTGGAAAGTTTTGTCCTTTAGGTTTAGTTTTTAGTCTTTCAAAATACTCTCCACCATACTCAATGCATCTTGCCATATGCTGAAACCAGTCATCAAACCAGGCCTCCTGCTTTTCTTCCAGATCAGCACACTCTTGATCCCTCACTGCCAGAAGCTCATAGTCACTGGAAAATTGCCTTTCTTTGAGACATTTTTTAACTTCTGGAAATAAGCCGAAGTCGCAGGAGGAGCAAGATCTGGATGTATGGAGTATGATCCAAAACAGTTAGTCCAGACTTGACCAAATAGACAACTGTATCCTTTGAGCTGTGTTGGAGTTTTATCATGTTGTGGGAGCTATGTTTTGAGCCGGGATCTTGGTCAGATGTTCCTCAGTGATTGACTGACTTTTGGCAAACATGTTTGGGTGTATCAGGAACTAGTGATTGTATGCTGTTTTTCTAGTACGATCCTCTCCACAAAACTGTGTTTTCCAAAGAATGCAGCAATTATTCATTTCTTTGTCAAACGTGATTTTCAGACCTCTACTGGAGTTGTTTCATCTTCAAAGAGCCAGACATGTTCTGAGATTTTGTTTAGAGATTTTTGTGATTCATGACAGCAATTCTATGTACGGATTTATCATTACTATCTTTTTCTTCAGCAATATACGTGATTTTTGTGTTGAAGTACCAAATCATTTAATAATTTTTCACATCATTTTACTCTGTTGCTCCTTTGTCAGTGAATGGGGTACCATTTACTGACAAAGCAAACAAATCTTTCTTAATCCAAAGTGCTTGTGCAGAACGTCATGAACAGTTGATGCACTAATATTCAATAGTTCTTGAATCTGACAATATATGATTTACCTGTCTTTGCTGAGAAGTTTCTTTACAGCAGCTAATTTTCTGACATTGCTTCTGCTGGCCTACCTGAGCATGGGTCATCCTCCACACTAAAATTACTGCTTTTAAACTGTTGCATCATTTTTTTTATGTTCTTCAAAGAAGGGCAATGTTTCCCCAATACAAAAGACATTTCTGAAAAGCACTCATCTTTACTGAGATTATGTAAAAAGTTATAATGGATAATTGTCTGATGTTCAGTTTTTGTCCACACTGCCATTTTCTTCAATTTTTATACTGCTTGTTGGGAAAGTACTGGAAACAGGAACTTGAATTGGACTTTACTCCATTTTTCATGCTCTTTTCATTGATAAAAGATTCATTTTGGTATGACCAATAGAAGACATGTAAGACAAAACTTTCCGAGTAACCTATGTAGAGTTGTAAAGCTTCCACATGACAAATATGATGATTACTAGTGACTTTTTTAATGATTTTGGCTTGCTCCCATTGTACTTGGACAGAATCCAATAGAGCATATGCTGCCAGGGCTGTATAAAAGGTTGTGACCTCTGTATATAATATTAGCATTCCTTTGATCTCACCTGAAGAAATCTTAAGATAGCACCATTGTAGAATAAGTTGTGAGCAACTCTATTGTCTTGAATAGATATCATATATATCCATGGAATGCTCATAGGACCAGTAGGTCTTTATTGTTCTGGAGGATCCTGTAGATGATGGGGTTTCTCTTTTAAACAATTCTTCTACCTGTAGCTTTACAAATTTCCTTATAGATGTTGTGCAGTTGTTTTAAGAATTCCACTACTGTGTAGACTTCTCTAGATGTATCACATATCCATATTCTGTGCAGATTAGTACTTATTATTCAAGACCCGTATAGTCTTAGGTTTGAAACATACTATAATCTATATTTCTCGGATGGTATTTCTTATCTTTGCTCATCGACATTGGGGTCCTTACCTGTGTTTTTGTTACTTTTTCTTATATAATAAGAATACATAATAAAAACAGGAAAATATATACATCTATTTTTGTATATTTTAACTATTTTTTCTGTTTGTTTTTTATCTTTATTTATGTATTATTCCTGTATTTATTTTTTATTTATAATTTGTTTGGCATTTCATTGCTCTGTAATTTATGTTATGTTTTATCATTTGATTTAGTCTGTTACCCAAAAGAGATCATTAAAAATGACTGAAAGTTATTTTGTGAGTTTATTATATAATAAACTCACAAAATTCAATTCAATAATTACAACAAAATTGACTATTAGTAAAATTTACAAAATTACATTATTCAAAATCCCAAACATTTAACCTGATTAGGGAAAAGAACCTAGCAGAAGAAAAATCTTCAATCAGCACCAATAACCTATAATTCATCAGCTATGTACTGACCATGAGAAGTGAAGGCTGGTTTGTTGTGGCAGTTTGATAATATTCTTTTATATAGTGCTGATTTGCATACTGCACATACTTAAAAGAAATAAGATTTTGCTTAATTTGTGTTTTTAACATTTATTTACAAAAATTTAAGTAGAATATTAATTTTTTAGCCATGTTTAAACCCTAAATTAATGTAATGCAATTTTATTTATTATTTAAATGTTACTATGAAATTATGCAAATTAAATTCTTGTTGGGAAGTGTTGAGAGAGCAGTCAAGATTTAATATAACTCAATTACTAAAGTTCAGAATAACAAAATGGAAAATAAATAATGTAACTAACTAAATATTTCTTTAAATTTAAAATTTCCTCTTGCCACAACATTAACTGGAGAGTAATTCTAAAAGTTGCCCATTAATGTAAAAAATATCAATAATATATACTGTAGATGTCATCAGAATCTTTTATGTGAACTGATAATATATATGTAATTGTCCATTAGCTTGAGAATTTATTTAATTGACACTTTTTTTTTTTTGGTTAATGAAAACTTTAATTAAAACAATTCTTATATATTATATAACATTTTTTTGACTATTAGTAAAATTTTCTATTATTCAGGTTGCTGCCACTTTAAATAATCTAGCTGTACTCTATGGAAAGAGGGGAAAATATAAAGAAGCTGAACCCCTTTGTAAACGTGCATTAGAAATTCGTGAAAAGGTTTGGACTATTTAAATAATTTTTAAAATAAAATTTCAAATTTAATCATTTTAAATATATTTGAAAGATAATTATTTGTTAATTTTCCATTTTGAGTCTAAGATAAATATTTTTTAAAATTTTAAATAATTACTATCTATTTTTATATTTACTTATTAAATTTATTGATGATTTTTAATTTTGCCTTGGTATACATTTATATTAAAATGTAGTTTAATTTTTTAGCTTCAGTATGCTCTAATGATACTTTGATTTATGCCTTTATAATAAGCATTTGTATTGAATCTATAGAATTTCCAAAAATCATCTTATTATGGACTATTTACCTTTAACAAATTTTTATTTTGTGAAATATTTTTTGAAAAAACAATTATCTAGCCACATGAAATATTAACCAATTTAACTATTATTTACAATTGAATAATATAGTCAAATTTTAATATAAATAAAATATCATATTGTATTATATTGATGTAATAAAATCACTTGGTGATTGTTTTTATATTGAATTTGTAGCATTTTATTATTTTCTATGTATACTTACATTTATTTAAAACTAATTAATATAAATTTTATTCAGTTAATCAATTAAAATTTTTATGCATAGTGATGTTTCTTAAGTGACTGTATTTGTTAAAATAGCCTTAAAATTAATTTTTAGTAAGGATCAGTATGAAATAAAAGTTTGAATGGAAAAGAGAGACATTAAAAATTTTTACATGTGTTTGCATTGGCATATTTTGTTAATTTGTGTTTAACATGTATTGTACAGTACAAGGTATAGATAAAAACATTGCACCAGACTCTATTTTGCTTCTGCTATATTGGCTAAATACAAGTGCACAAGAGTAAAGGTAATTTGGTAGTAAACTGTTAGATGCATTGTTGCAATGCCCTCAACCCTTTTCATGAGGACAAATCCTATCTTAGCTTCTATTAAACTAGTAGCCCGGGCCGTCCCCTAGTGGGCGTTTTAGCAGTATTACAAATTTCTATGAGGATGTTTAATGCACTTAATATATGAAAGCCATGAAAGGTTTCTATTATTATATTAAAAATTAGCTTAACTATTTCATATCCTTTTGTTTAAAGTAAATAAAATCTGCAATTTAAGTTTGAATATTTTAAATAATATATTAATTATTTTGTTATAGGAACTACTACTAATTTGTTAATTAAAATTTTTTTTGTATGTTGCTACTTTATTTTATTACAAAATATTTTCATTTTCAATTTATTCAAATTTATTATCTGAAATTTTAAATTATTTTTATTAGCATTGTCTCCAACACCTCCTGGACAAATGGCAGCAGCTGCTAATGCTGGATATGAAATTCCTGCACGACTTCGGACTCTACATAATCTTGTAATACAGTATGCATCTCAAGGACGATATGAAGTTGCAGTACCATTGTGCAAACAAGCTTTAGAAGATTTGGAAAAAACAAGTGGGCATGATCATCCTGATGTTGCAACTATGTTAAATATTCTAGCACTTGTTTATAGGTAATTTTTTCAAATTATAACAAGTATGAAATTATTTGTTATGAATTGTAAACTTTAATATATTTTTCTTGTAGAGATCAGAATAAATATAAAGAGGCAGCAAATCTGTTGAATGATGCACTCGCTATTCGTGAAAAAACATTAGGGGAGAATCATCCAGCGGTGAGTGTCTCATCATTTAGATACTCTAATGATATCATTCTTATTACAATTATATCATTCACATCTTATTTATGAGATGTGGATGATAATTTTTTGTTGTTTTTTGTCGTTTGTATAAATTTTGTTTTTGTGATAGTCTAATAGAAANGATTAACCATCACATCGGTTAACCGACCGTTCTAGTCGGCAAATTTAAATTTTTGCTATTTTTTAATCAAAATTTTTATAAAGGTATGCAAATAAATTTTTCTGTTCATTTAAAATTTAAATTTTTTTCTGATTTAAATAGTAGTCAAATGATAAATAAAAAGACTACTTATAATCTTAGATTTTTAATATTGCATTTTATTACAAAATTATTGATTTTGAGTTGAACCATTGACCTCAGTTCTATCTGTTCTCACTGAGTTGAATGATTGCTATATTTTCAATATAATGATTTAAATGTTTGTGCAAATGAATTTTATAAATTTTTACAAATTCCTGATCTATTGTGGGCAGATTAATTCATAACAAATAGCATAAATTTTGAAATTCAACATTCATTTAAGTTCTTACATTTTTAAAGTAGTATTTTCAGAAATTTGAGGCTAGAAATATTAACATAAATTCAGATTGATTTTTTATAGTGATGAAAAATATTGGATTGATCAAAAAGTTTGTTCATTTGTTGTTGTTGAATCAAATACTGCATTAATTCAAGAGAACCTACTTTATTCTATCAGGAAAATACTAAAAGTGATATATATTGCTTATGGATTGGTTGTTGGTCAGTTACACAACTTAGTATACTTATCATATTATGATGATTGGATACTATTTCAAGTGAGCATGAGAAATCTGCTTGACAGACTGCCTGCTTTGATTATTGTGATTTCCTGCTGAAACATAACCAGATGATCCCTTTTTAAAGCAGCTAATTAGTGACAACAAAAAATGGATTATTTATGATGGTGTGCAGTGGAAAAGATTGTGGAGAAAGTCAACTGATCCCCCTGCAATGCAGTCAAGAGCTGGTTTATATCTGAAAAAGGTTATGCAAAGCATGTGGTGGAATTAGCAAAGAATATCTATAAACTACTGAGTCAAGATCAGACCATTAATACAGAATAGTACTGTTCCCAATTTGATAATCTGAATACAATCATTAAAGAAAAATGGCCAGCATTAGCAAGAAGAATGTGGCTTTCTTCCATGGCAGTACTATATCATATGCATCTTTGACCATTCTGGAAAAGTTACTGGAATTTGGATGGGATGCCATTATTCCATATTCTACTGATCCTGCATCTTCAGATTACTTATTTCAATCACTCTACAATAGTTTGCAGAAGAAAGAAGTTCAATAATTTGTCTAAGTGTGGTATGTGAACTTTGCATGTGAAATAATAGATTTACTCGACAGATGGACTAAAGTGATAGAAAACAAAGGTTCATATGTAATTTAATAAAATTATTTCTTAATTTTTAAAATTTGAGAGTTATTTTTATTTAAAATCAAACTTTTTGATCAACCCATTATAATACAAAAATACTTTAAAATGTTTATTATGGACTATTCTATATCAACTAATTTATAAAGATAAAATTATATTATATAATTTTTTATATATTAAAGTTTAGATTAATAATTGACTGCATTCTTTTTAATTAGGTTTTGGGTAAGAATCATCCTGATGTAGCTAAACAACTTAATAATTTAGCATTACTTTGTCAAAATCAGGGAAAATATGAAGAAGTTGAACGTTATTATCAAAGAGCTCTAGAAATATATGAAAAAACACTTGGTCCTGATGATCCAAATGTTGCAAAAACAAAAAATAATTTGGTGAGTATGTAATTTATCTAAGCAATAATTTAAGTTTCTTTTAAACTTTGGAAATACAGGCTTAAACTTATTTAAAGATTTAAATTTTAGATACGTAATTTTTTACTGTAAATCTTGGGAATTTCTTTCAAAAAGCAATATTTTATTCAAAACTTACTTAAATTGAAATAGAAAAATGAATGAAGATAAAAATTTAACAAGAATACCAACAACTGTTTAATGCTATAACATTTTATAGATGATTGTAAAGCTGATTTATTTCATTAAACTTGTATTCATTAAATTTTTCAAGAAGCATCTTCTATGTATTCTAAATAAATAATCCTATATCTATAGATATAGTATTTTGTTTAGCAGATACAATATCCAAAGTTAAAATGTACAATTGTCCATCGGTGGCCAAGCAGTCTTCGCTCCCTGAACACTGGGAGTTCGGTCATGGGTTTGCGCCTTGCTCGGACAGACTGGCCACGTGGAGTTTTCTGGGTTTTCTCCACATATGTAACACCTAAACCAGTGTTTCTCAACCTGTAACGAATCGTCGCCCCTTCAATAAAACCGTTATGTAGTATTGCTCCCTTCGCTTCAAAATTCCGATGTCAAGGGCCAAGGCTAACGCCAAATTCGTACTGCATTGAATAGACTAGTGACTAGTATAATGTTATTTGTTTAGTTATTGTACGATATAACGAATAAAATATCTAATTATTCTTAATATAATGTTTTACTATATCGCCCAGAAAATTGTTTTTCGCCCCCAAAATACAAATTGTTACTAATCGCCCCTTAACATGGAAAATCACCCACATGGGGCAATATCGCCCCCATTGAGAAACACTGACCTAAACAGAGGCCAGTTTTCCTTAAAAAGACATCCTGGAAGGCATCCCCTAGGCAGATCGCCCAATGTGGCATTGCCATAATTTAACAAACATAAAACATACAATTTATTTAATTCTTTATTCTACATATGCATTTTGGATTGACATGAACTCTCAACCCCTCCCTCTTCAATGTTATAAAATTTGTATGTTTTAAAGTTTTTAATTAATGATTTAAACCAAGATTATAAATGAAAAAATATTAAATTTTATAAGATGTAATGTCCAACAATCCACATGAGATTAAGAAATAAACAAACCATAAAACCGGATATGCAATTGTACATGAAATTGAATCTCCACCTATGGTTGTTTCTTTATTAATACAGTAGAGCATCGATTATCCGACCCTTCGATTAACCATCACATCGGTTAACCGACCGTTCTAGTCGGCAAATTTCAAATGTCCGCTAGTGATGTGGCACTACAATATTTGGCTATGTCTTGGCTACTTTAATATTATTTTTGTTAAATTTTTGCGTGTTTTAGCTGGTAACACGGCTCGACCATTAAAGGGCGGCCAGTATGTAAATGAGACTTAATTTTCTAATTACGAGTGGTTGTTTGTTTTGTGAGCAATAAAATAATTTTTAACGCTATGATAGTGACGATTATTATTTTAAAAAAAAAATTTGTTAGGCTTAACATTGATGAAAATTCAATGCGAAGTTGGTTAATAGCAATATACTAATTACATGGGATATCCTAATATACTAATAATGTATTTTTTTCATTTTTTTCGGTTATCCGATTTTTCAGTTAGCCGACCAACCTGAGTCCCCAATTGAGTTGGATAATCGATGCTCTACTGTACATAGAAATTTTATAACACTGAAGAGGTGTTGAGAATTCATGTCAATCTGAAATGCATATGTAGAATAAAGAATTGAATAAATTGTGTTTTAACCTTGGATCTTGTATTTGCTGAACAAAATACTATATCTATAAATATAGGATTATTTAGTTAAAATACATAAGAATTAGGGTTACTCATTTCCCGGTTATTTGCTTGTCCCAGGATTTTGAAAAAACTGTTTCCCAAGATCCTGGGAAATCTTGGAATATAATTAATTATTTTTAAGATGTAAAATAAATCTTGAAATTTAATGATATAATTATTTTTATAATGATATTTAATACATTCTGCAACTTACAAAATAATAATCAGCAAGTACACAGAACTCGCCCAGGAAATAATCCATCTGTGGCGGATGGAAAGGGTGTACCTGTTGTTCTCTCCTGTACAGGTGTGATACCCCACACACTACACTAAAGCCTGGGAACATTACAATTGAATAGAAATACATACATCACACTACAGAAGGCCACTATATTGAATACATGCCACATTGTTAGGAATTCCTGAATACAGACACTGACACACTTATTTAATTTTTGTTCTTGGTTGCTATGTCTTGACTCTGGTCCAGCATAGTACACAGCCATTGGTGTGAACTGAGTATAACCCACTAAACCCAACATAATAATAATAATGCATGTAAAATATGTGTTAAAAATTACCTTTGAATTATGTAGAATTTTCACAAATAGAAAAAAGTTATTAAAGTTTGTTGTAAAGATGACGTTAGTTTTTACCTTAAAGTAAAAACAATGACATCGTCAGAATGAAAACAAATTTTTGAATATTTCACATTCCAAATATTGTCGAACCTGAGGAAGGCCATTAAATATAGCCAAAAACGTTAGTTTAATTAAAGAAAATTGCTAGAAAAAGTGTCAAAGGTTTTATATTACTTATTTTCTTCATACTTGTTTGTATTCTTGCTCAATTTGCACAATCTGGGATAATGCAGTTATTGAAGCTACTGGGCATTGTTAAAAATTAAGACAGCATCAGTGCAAAATATAGCCAAAAACTAACATTTTTGGCTATATTTTGCACTGATGCTGTCTTAATTTTTTCCTTAAATTGTCTTAATTTGCCTGTCTTTTTAAGGGAAACTGGCCCCTATTTAGGTGTTACAGACGTGGAGAAAACCCAGAAAACTCCACATGGCCAAAACCTGTAATATCTTGAATAATTATTCAAGATATTACAGGTTTTGAAAAGTAAAGAATTTTCAGAGTCCGGCCACAAATAGGCTACATATTAATTATTAACAACTGTTTCCATGCCGTAATGAAGAAAAATTTTAAAAATAAACAAACAGGTTTAAAATTAATAAATACAAATATATTTTGACAGTTTATGAGTTAATTATACTTTGTATTTGCAAAATTTCCCCAGCCTTAGCACAAGATAAGAAAAAAGTGAACTTTTGCAAAATTTGTGGGATTTCCCGGGGTGAGAAGAGTTTCCCAGGGTTAAAAACAGCTGGGATTCTGTTAGAGAAACCTTAGTAAGAATACAGCAAACCTGTAATCCAAAAAAGGAATAATTTATTTAAGCATATATATGTTGTCAAATATTTATATGATAAACTGCCCTTGGATCAATTTCAAACAGTAGTCTATTCTGTTAATATATTCTTTTAATGTGGAAAATATTTGAATATAGTCAAGTAAAACTCTTATTTTTTTGCTTAGCTATTTCTAAATGGTCTCCTCCTCATGATAAAATGGTAATAAATATTTTTACAATATATCATATTTTCAAACAGCTTTATCTCTTATTAGTCTTTTCATAGCAGTTTCAGAGTTGAATCACCATGGGCCAGCCATTTATCTGGATACTCAATTTTTCTAAAAACCACTGATGGTTAATGTCATATCACTTACACTTGGCCTGTATTTATGGCACAGCATCCTTATTAATTAATAAATCCTTTCTGATTATGTGCTAGAGAGAGAAATAACTCATAAAGAAACAGTGGTTTTTTCTGATCATCTCAGGACATTTATTTACAATTCCAAGTTGTGATATGGCAGAAAAATATCAGAAACTTTAGGTAAAGATTTGATTGAAAATATACAGCCTGAGTGAGCAGGATTAATATTGTATAGTTATAGAGGCATTCTGACAGATAATTTGATCAATGCAGCAAGCATTGCATTTCCTGGTATGCAGTTTAGAATGTACATCATCATAATTCTTTCTTTCCATAGAAGAAAAAAAATACTGTTTCAATAAAGAGGTCAATTTATTGTAGGTATAGAATTTTTTTTGAACCTTCCTAACTCATCTTTAGATAAAACATTTAAACTCAATTAAACTTAAAGCTTTTTCAAGTACCAGTATAAATTAAAAGTTCTTGAACAGGTTTTTATTAGTAAAATGTTGATGTCTTTAAATGAAATTGTAATTTTCCTTATAATAATATTTTCTATAAACCCCCCTTTTTTTTTATCTGAAAATGTTTNGACATTTATTCCAACAAGTTGACAAATAACATCTTTAAAAAATACTGGGAAAACCAGGTTTTCACTGCTTCTTAAATTAGACCTCACTGTCCAATGTACATCAATTTCCCTTGAGATTTTTTTAAGAGGTCCAAAAATGTGGAAGTCACAGGAACTAAGATGGGGCTGTAGGCAGAATGTCTTAACACTTCCCATCCAAAATGGTGCAATGTGTTGTCTCCATGGTCATAGAAAACAGAGCAGGTCATCAGTGAAGAGAAGATTATATTCATCTGTTTTTCAATTACTGGAGTCCTTTACTCCTGGAATAGTTATCTCATGGTAAAACCACAACACTGTCAGATACAGTAAATCTTGCAGAAATTGCACTGTGCTATGAAGTCTAAGCACCATGGCAATCTCATCTGGTATGGTTTTGCAGTATGACAATACATGACAGCTTATCATCCACTCTTTCACAGACATCACACCATTTTGGATGGAAAGGGTTAATATAAAATAAAATAACCAAACACCTTAGTATTTCCAACAACAAAGTATTTAATAAAATAAAAACGTTTTTGACTATTTTTTAATAGTCTTCTTTAGTTAAAACACTTCAAAACAAAAAAGAATATAAAATAGAATGCAAGCAATACAACGGTTTAAAAATTTGAAAATAATTACAACAAAATAAAAATAAAATAAAACATAAAAACAAAATTAAATTAAAATAAAGTATTAAGAAAAAATTAATCGTCGTGGTAAAAAGATTTCCATGCAGAGGATAGACTTTCTGCATCTCTATGATTGATGCAT